CTCCCTCTCTGAGAAACAGATTGTTTCAATATGGTGGGTCCCAGAGGTGCTGAGACTTCAAAACTGGCAAACTTGCTCTTAGGGCAAGAGGATTGTGTTATTGGGTACCAAAAAGGCAATAACCCTTGCCCCTAATTGTCCCTTAATCCCTATCCCAGATGGTAGCTGACTGAGGTATCAATACTCTTTAAGGAAAATAATGGGGAACTCAACTTAGTCATGGATTAGGACGGATTATGAGTGCAGATTCTGAAGTCAGACCACCTGCATTCAAATCCAGCTATACTACTTCCTGGCCATGGGATTCTTGGAAATTATTTAACGTCTCATTTCAGTTTCTTCATTCGAAAAATGGAGATGATGATACTGATTGCAGCTACCTCAAAGGACTATTTTTCAGTTTGAAATGAATTATACATATAAAAGTGGTCACTGTTAGCTACTATTATTATTGGGTCAATTCAGAGAGACCTGGATATTTACAGAATTAAACTTCCAGGGTACATATGACTGTATAAGGATGATGATGAAAAAGAAAGTAACTTTCTAGACATCCTTGGGCAAATTAAATAGCTGATGACATCGTTCAGTCTGTGTAATATTCCAGGAGTATCCCAAAGACTCAGGAATGAAATTCTCTACAACTTCCTACATGGAAGAGTAATTATGTAACTATCTCAATGACAGCTTAATTTATTTTAGCCTAATACAATATTCTATTTATAGTCTACTATCTCTATAGCATCTCTAAGTCAATAGTTTTAAACCCAAGATCAGATGACTGGGACTTGTCTTATCAATGAGGAGATTTGGATGATTCTTAACAAGTTTTCTCCCATCGTTGAACGGTAGGTTCTCTAGAACATCATGGATATTCAAAAGTGGTTCGTATTCTACTTTTTCATTTTCACTGTCCTACTAAACACTACTTAAAGAAAGGAGAAAATAACAAATGTTATTTACCAATCTTATCTTCCCACTTGCTACCACAAAAAAGAGTGGGAGATAAAGTATTGTTTCATTTGTGGCCGAGACAGCAGCCTCCTAAGAGTTTAAGAACGTGTTCACCGCGCCCTGATCATGGGCCTCCCTGACCCCACATCAATATGATGCATGCCCTGAGCAATGTGATAGGGGGCCACCCTCTGGCCTGAGGACCTCCCTCAGGAGGTGATGCCTGCCATTATGGGCACTTTGGAGGCATCCCATCACTGTAAAATCTGGAAAAATTCTAGGTCCAAATCCTTGGTCTCCTTCTTTTTGCCCCTAGATTTCAATTCAGGATCTCTTATGAACCCAGCCTTTAAAGTTCCTAGGATACCTTCTTAAAACTGTATGTGCCAAGGCAGTGAAGAAGAGGCCCCTTGATAGCACAGAGAGGGGTACACTTGGGGGAAAGATGCTGGTGATGAATAGGTGAGAGAGGACAGGAGAAATGACTACCTAATTGTGTGACTGTGAAGATAAAATGGGTGTATTGGATAGAGTTTTCTTCAAAGAATTTGAGCATTTTTTAAACAAATGCAAATATTTCTGTAAATGCCTAGCAATTTCTGAACTAGTTGGGGGCATGTGCTCACTCATAGACACACACACACACACACACACACACACACACACATCTTGATTTAAGTTTTTAGAATTGCTAAATACCTATAAGCCATTGAGTAATAGTTTTTTACTCTAAATACTTTTAGTTGTTTGTCATGTTTTCCACTTGCTCAGGAGTTTCACCATGAGCTAACATGCAAGTAGGAGCAAGTTATGGAAAGGGCCACACCTACCTAGGAAAGAAGCAGCTCCTTCATTCAGCAACAAGGCAAGCGTATCACAAAAGACAACACCTGAAAAGCAGGTTGGGTTGTAGCGCATACTGCGGACACCTACCAGCTGTACTCCTTATATCTACATAAGATAGTCACTTGTACAGTGACTTTTTAGAAAACATACTCTTAATGTTTCTAAGTCAGTAGAGAAGACAGTATTGTAATTAACCTGAAAGAGAAGGAGCTTCGTACAGTTTAGGATAGAATGGAAATATTCTTGTCCTCATACTTCCAGTGAGAACCTGAGAGTTTCTCTCAGCAATTCTTAAGGGTTGTTGGCACTCAGGAAGTGGGGAGTGACCTAGTTTTGAAGATGACATATATAGTGTGGCATGTTGCTCTTTTGGAAGAGGAAAATATAATTAAAACAAAACGTTCCACATTTAGGAATTTCCACTTTAATGATCTGAGACACAACAAATACATTTATCTGAAGTTGTCTTTTAGGAGGCTTCACATGACCTAAATCCAGCCATTCGTTCAACATTTATTGAGCACCTACCATATAGCAGGCACTGTTCTAGGCACCAATGATATAGCAGTGGGCCTTGTTCACTTGCAATTCACATTCCACTGGGGAGAGACAGGAAATAAACAAAGGAAGAAATATAGAACGTGTCTGAGGAAAAATGAAACAAGCTAAGAGGATGGGGAATGACAGGGATGTTATTTCATGAAGATAGTAGTAATGAGGATAATAAACGTAAGTGATATTTGAGCTGAGACCAGAACAAAGAGAGTCAGTAATGGGAAAATGTGGAGGAAGAACAGATACTAGACAGAGGGAACAGCAAGTACAAAGTTTCCAAAATAGAAACATGCTAGGCATGTTCGAAGAACATCAAGAAGGCCAGTGGGGCTGGGGTAGAATGATGGAGAAGCAAAATGGTAGTCAATGTGATACTTGCTGTAGTTGCCCAGTATCCCGTCATATAGGTAAGGAAAGGACTTCCAATTTTAAGTATGTTGGGAAGCAAGTGGAGGATTCCTAGAAGGAAAGTGACCTGATCTGACTTACAAAAGGATCATCTGGTTGCTGTGTGCATCATAGTTTGTAAGCAGCAAAGTGGAAAAGCCCAGTAGGGGAGAACCACAGTAATCTAAACAAGAAAAGATGGCAACTTGAACTAGAGTCTTAGCAGTGGAGGTGCTAGGAAGTATTCAGATGTACTTTGAATACAGAGCCAGCATGACCCGCTTAAGGACCAGAGATTAGGTCAAGTACCACATTCATTTGTGATACAGCTGGAATCTGTGCCCCGGCCTTCTGGTTCTCACTCGGTATCACATCAACCTCTCCTTACCCAACAGAATATTAGTGTTTAACTTCATAATGTCACCTGAACTATTTCTTTCAAGGAATATATTTGAAATGTTCTCATTACAGAAACAGCCTAGTTAGAATCTATTTCACGAACCATTAAATACAAATGAAAAGTGCTATATGTGAAGTAGTCATGATGTTTAACCCTTTGGCAACTAGTTTAGAAGTGTCAGAGATACCAATGATATTTAGATATGCATTATATAGATAATACGTATTACTTCACAATTATTGTGCGTTAGCAGACAAAGACATCCCTTGACTGGGTGTGCATAGCTAGGAAAATACTTATTTATAGTCAGGAAACTTTAAAATACTCGATGCTTTTTTTGCTTGATGTTTTTAAAAACATCTATCTGGTCCTTGACATGTCAGAATTTACATTCTACTTGACTTTCAATAAACCAGGTATTGAATGTCCACTGTGTCAGCCACTATACTAGACACGGAAAACAAAAACGAATGGTCCTTTTTCATCAAGTATACAGACAAAAACAAACAAAAAACGATTTCTTAGAAAAATAAGCAAATTTTTAAAAAGTGGAAACATCTGTTGAAAACTACTGATCTGGTAATGCTAGAGGAAAACGGAACAACTAGATCTTTGTGGAATTGTCAGGAAAAGGTTTTCTGGGTGGGTGAGCATGGGTTTTAAGAAATCAGATTTGGCAGGTAGTCTGTTCCAGGAAAATACAGCACGGAGGCTAAGGGTAGAAGCAAGTAAGCCAAGGCCTCTGAGTCCACACCCGGGTGGAATAGGACTGGATCATTATTAGCTAAGGGTGGAGGAAGCAAGTAGAGGAAATCTGCAAACAAAAGCCAAGCACATATTAACATATGAAGAGGAATGAACCATGATCAAGACAAAGCATTAAGTGTCTTTTGTTGTTTTGCTGCCTGTAGTACACATTACAAACGGGCGCCACTGAGGGCCGGTTTTTACATTCATACCTCTCTCAACATTCATCCGTCTATGTCAACATGTTTATTAAGTACTTTTAACACACACTTTTACAGAAGTCAAGGCACTCTATGAAAAAGTTTTTCCGAAGAGAAGTTATCCGAAGAGCAGATTATACGTCAATTCACGGACAAAGGCGTTAGAGAGAGGAGCGGTTTTCTATTCCCCGCTTTCGTGCCACTATGGCAGTAAACTTTAAGTCGGGAAAAATGTTTTAATCGGTGAGATAATGCCTTTCAAGTGCTTAGCATAGTGTCTGGTCTGTAGTAAGCATTCAATTTATGGTTATTACTTTGACCTTAGATCTCTCTTAACCATTTGGGATTCTGTTTTCTCATTTTCAGACACGGATCACAGATGGTCTCTGACGCGCCAGCTAGCTTTGACAATCTCCTATTTCAAGTAGGCATCGAATAAAATGTTTGCTGAACAGTTGGAAGTATGCTGTCTCCCCTTGGGCCCAGCTGAACGCCCATCCGAGGACCAGCGGGGAGGGAATACAGGATCCGCCCGCTGGTCCCACACGCTTGTGTTTGGGGGTGGAGAACACACTACACGCCCTTTATCCAACACCTACAGGCGGGGACGAGAGAGAGTCCTGGTTCGCGATCTTAGCTCCAACCCGGGCCAAGTACACATTCCTCTTCTGCCAATACGACGCGACCTTCCCCGTTCTTGCCCCTCCTGAAGCCGGAACAGCTCATCCAAGCCAGCGGGGCAACGTACCCACCTCCGTCGACGGCTCAGACACGCCCCTTCCGGCCCAATCCCCGCCCCTCGGGCCCCGCCCACGGCCCCGCCCCGTCGCGAGCTCGGCACCAGGTCTTCCCAGTGCCCGCCCGGGCCGGGTCCACCCTCGACGCTCTGAGGTCACCGACGGGGCTGGCCTGCGGGGGGCGGAGGGACAGAGGAAAGATGGCGGCCAAGGCCGGATATTGGCGCCGCCTCCCCCAATCCTGGAGCCGGCGCAGATGAGGCAGCTCAGCTGGGGCCAGCGGCGCGTCGGAACCCGAGCTGGGGGGACCCTGGCGGTGGGGCCTGGCCCTGCTATATGCCGGCGCCTCAGCTAGAGTGAGCGCGGCAGCCGCGGCGACGCCTCTTGGCTTCGGCTCTTTCCCTGTGGCTGTGAGTGCGAGCGGGTGGCGGGCGGCAGAGGCGGCGGGACCGGGATGGAGGACGTTAACTCCAATGTGAACGCGGACCAGGAGGTGCGGAAACTGCAGGAGCTGGTGAAGAAACTGGAGAAGCAGAACGAGCAGCTGAGGAGTCGCTCGGGGGCCGTGCAGGGCGCCGGCTCCCTCGGGCCCGGCAGCCCGGCTCGGGCCGGCGCGTCCACTCCCTCCTCCGGCTCGGCGTCCCCACGGGGCTTCCCCTTGGGCCTCAACGCCAAGTTGGGCAGCGGGGCCGGGTCGGGCTCGAGGAGGACGAGCAGCGAGGAGCTGCGGGACACCACCTCCTTGTTGGCAGCGGGCGAGGGCGGCTTGCTGGACGAGGTGGAGCCGCTGCGGCCCGACGAGCTGGAGCGGCTGTCAGGCTGGGAGGAGGAGGAGGAGAGCTGGTGAGCGTGGGGCGAGCGTGGGGCTCCGGGCCGGGGCTGGGCGGGGACGGGCCCGGGGGCGGAGAGCGTCTTCCGAGGGTCCCTGGTAAGACACCCCGCTTTGTGTGGTGGGATCCGCTCTCTGACGGGGACTCGTGGTTTTCTTGCTTTGGCTGGAGGAAGATCAGCTAGAGTTGGGGAGTCGAGGCGTGTGAGAGGAAAGGGGTTTGTAGCTCGTTCTCCTCTGGGTTGTGGACCCTCTGGGGTTCGGACCCCGTTGGGGTCTGTGGGTTGGACAGCCTGGGAAGGGCTGCTCGCCTTGGGAGGAGGCGGAGGTGGGGGAACTGCTTTGTAGGAAGGGATCCTGCTTTGTGTGAAATGAAATACTGGCTTTGGGATGGTGGCCTGGGCATTTTGGATGTCGGAGAGGGGTCTGCTTGGTGAGGTATCACCCGGAGCGGGGAGCAGCCCATAGTGGTCTCAGCCTGTGTAGTGTGGTCAGTGTTTTGGGCTAGTGGGAGATGGGTGCATCTCTGGCAGCGATGGGGAGACGGTGTGAATCAGCACTCCCCTTTGGGTAGTGGGGTAAAGCTTGCTTTGTGTGGAGAGGGCAGAGGATGGTGCTGCTTTGTGTAAAGAGTCAAGAGTGGAACAAGAGCCCTGGCTCTTGTTTTTGAAACAAGAATTAGATCTGGCTTTTTTTTTTCTTTTTTTTTTTTTTTTGGCTGGACAGTTAACCCCATCCACCTTTCCTTTCTATTTTTAAATAGGGCTCTTTAAAAATCTAAGCCAAACCTGTATTGTCATAAGCCACTTCTTGATAAAATTGTGAACCACACCGTAATATCACTTCCATAAATGGAAAGGACATGGGAGCCGTTTTCCCTCATATTTTATTGCAACCGCATAACGATGTCTATGGGAAATGCTTTCTCTTAATTTACCCTTTTATAAAGTTTTAACTTAAATGTCCCTACTCTTTGTTGAAATTGAAACTTCTACGTTAGTGAAATGGAAATTCCTCTTGGACTCTGGTATTGCAGGGCTGCAACTTGACAGTGTCCTGAGATAGTTAAGAGCTTTGCCCGGATTCAGGCTCTGCCTCTGCCACTTACTAGTTGTATGACCTTGGGCAGGCTACGCTGAGTCTCATTTTCTTCCTCTATTTGATGGAGAAAACAATAGTTCTTTCCTCTGTAAAGTTCTGAAGATTGAAGTAATCCACGTATCCTTTTAGCTCTGAGTCTGGCATATAGTAAACTCTCCAAGACTAGCTGCTGTTACTCTTAAGCTTAGTTATTTAAATCAAAAATATTTAATGAGCTCTTACAAGATCTTGTGGGAGATTCTAAAAATTCTTGAAAGTTGATTCCTGTTCATTAAGGCAGTTACAGGCTTGTTGGGAGCCAAGTTTTATGCAGTTAAATAAGTTAGGATGCATACAGTGAATTGCCAATAAGAGTGATAGGAACAAAAAGTACTGAGAGTGCTCAGAAATTTGGAAGAAAATAATAGTCCAAAGTACTTGAGACAAACTTTTAAGGAGGTGGCTTTGGGGGAAGGAAGAGTGGGAAGGGGATTTTATGCTCTGACATCTGCTAGAGCAGAGTTAGAGATATTTGTAACTCCCAGTTAGGAGGTTTGAATTACAGAGATACCCTTGAATATATGATGTCAAGCCTTTATTTTATTGTCAAGCGATACCAAGTATTATTAGAACTGACTATGATATTGACAGTTTTTCATATTAGTGTGAAATCACGTCCTTCCAAAATAATTTTGGGCATATATACACTGAAAAGAACCCAGAATCATCTAAATATCATCACATGCCTCTTCCAAGTAATGATAATGATGTTCTAATAACGAGGATTAGCTGCACTCATCAGCCCATTTTAGATTATGTATTATTAGAACACATTGACTCCACTTGGAGAAGCTGACTAAAAAAGTCTTGCTTCTATGGTTTCTGACTATATGGTTTGTTAAAGTAAAGCAAGCCTTCTTAAATACCATGCCAGGAGTTTCTTTTGACCAGATGGTTCCTGCTTACTGCTTTGATCCTGGCTACATATGTTGATATTATAGATGTTCTGTACTTTTTCTGAAAAAAATGTGTGAATTGAAAGTTTGATAAATATATTTAAAGTGCTTTGGGATATGTGTTTGGAGCATAAGTTGGAAATGGTGGGTGTTAGTGGCAGGGGAAGATTTAAAAAGTCGAGTTTTTTCTTAGCAAGCTAAAAATCGAATTTCTGTAACTTATACCCATTGTATCTTCTTTTTCATTTAGACAAATGTTTTTCCCTAAGTGTATACTATATAATGCTAGTCCTGAATGTGTCAGTAGATACTGTGTGAAAAAATAATGGTGGATCTGAGGTCAAATGTATATGGGAAAATTGAAAGTCAACAAAAATAAACTTGGTTTTTTTAATGCTGGACTTTTTGATATGCTAATATGTATTGAATATAGTAAATCTCTAAGTGCTACGGTTTGTTTCCTAAACTTATTTGCGCTCCTAAGGAACTAGTATAGAACCTGCTTAGAAAACAGTGCTCTAGATCCCTGACTTTCACAGCTTTTTTTGGGGGGGGGGGGCGGAGGAGCAGGGCAGCTTCATGATAAATAACATTTTACATCATAGCCTAGTACGCACAAATATGAATAATTGAAACAAAAGTTCACAAAACTGTAGTTACTTTTAGTACATGTGGTATGCTCTAATATTTTCTATTCTGTTCTGTTTCTTTAGGAAAAAAGTGCTGGTTACAATGCACTAAACTGATTTTGTGACCCATCGTAATTCTCAGTTTGAAAAACATTCTTCTAGATCAACTAGGTAAAGTTCAGAGAAGGGAACTAACATTGTGTATCAGTGTCAAACAAGGCCAGGCAGCTTATAAACATTTTTGCACTTAATTGCATTTAATTTTCATTCATTTATGAGATAGGTATCATTATCTAGGTAAGAAATAATCTCTAAGTATCAAATAGCACACAGTAAATGATGGAGTCAGGATTTGAATATAGGTCTTTATGACATCAAAGCCTATGCTGTTCACTCTACTTTGCTTTTTTCAAGTATAATTTCATTTCCACATGAATGACACTTTAAAGTATTTGAAGACTACTATGATCCTCTAACTGCTTCTCCCCACCACACACTTTCAATATTCTTGTCTCTTTTTTGGAGTAAAACAATCCCAGTTTATTTCATCATTGTTTAGATAATGTAATTCTCTGATCCTTCTACTGTGATCATTTTTCTCCTAATGAATTCTGGTTGCTCATTGTCATAAACATGGTACCTAGAACTGTACAGAACATTTTAAATGATACTGACCAGATAGTGTGTGGTGGCTATAATTGCTTTAGCTAAATGCTATTATTTTGAAACCAAATATTTCACTAACAGTTTTTACTTATGTTACTAAGCTTAATATGAGCCAGTAGTGTCAGTTACACCCTGTATCTTTTGTACATAGTTGTTAAAGTCTCCCTAACTCTGTTTTTGTGTAATGAATTTTTTTTGGCTTAAAATTAGGCCTTTGTATTTCATTTTGTTAGTCTTGATCTAGGCATTTAAGATTATATGTTCTTGCTGATTTTTTTTTGTCATTTGCATATTTGGTAGGCTAGCCTACCTGGTCTTTATTCAAGTTGTTAAAAATATTAAAATGACAGAGTAAAGGACTCTGAAATGTGCAGCTCAACTAGACTCCTTCCAGATTAACATCAGTTCATTAACACATATTGTGGGTTGTTCAGTAACTGTTAGCTCCACTTATTATTTTCAAACCATTTTGTCTATATGGGTATTATGAAAGATTTTGCCAAATAGCTTGCTTTAATTAAGCTATACTGTACCTATAGGGTTCTTATCTGCAATAAAGTAAACCTATCAAAATAGAGAGTGCAGTTAATTTGGTATAACTTGTTCATAGTGAATCCTCTCTGGATTGTTCCTTTTTTAACTTCGCAAACATTTTAGTTAATCTAGTTTTGAATTTTATAAGGAATAAGTTTGATCTAGAATTTCCAGATACTAATTTTTCTCTTTAGAAATTACCATATTTCCCTTATCCAGGCTTTTTATGCTGTCATGATATCTGGATTGACATATTTCAGATTGACAAAAACTCAGTGACAAAATTTCAATTCCTTTCCATTGGAGGAGTGGCCTAAGCCTACATTCATTCTGTTGTACTGTCTCTTGTCACCTTGCCTCGTGTGAACTTCAGTTTCCTTTGAAGAGTGATTATTCAGCGTGTCCATTTGAACAAACTATTGGCAGAAAAACAGAAGCTAAAGAAGAATATTTCTGCCTTCTCTATGTCATCTAGTATCGTTGCATATTTTGCTTCAGTATTTTGGCCTTTTTTGTACTGCTGCTCTCAGTGTAATTTTTTTCTCTTCAAGTTTTTGTTTGTTGAGATATAATTGACATACAATAAAACCCACCTGTTTAAAGTATGTAATTCACTGATTTTTAGTATATTCACAAAGTTGTGCAATCGTTACTACTATCTAATTCCAGAACATTTTCATCATTCCCACAAAAAACTCCAGCACATTATCAGTCCCTTCCCATTTCCCCTGGACCCCAGCTCCACTTTCTGTGTCTGTGGAATTGCCTATTCTGCTCATTTCATATAATTGAAATCATATAATACGTGGCTTTTTGTGTCTGGCTTCTTTCATTTAGTATAATGTTTTCAAGGGTCATCCATATCTTAGTGTGTATTAGAACATTCTCTTCTTTTTGTTGTTCCCATTTGTATCTGAATAATGTTACCCCATTTTGTTTACCCACTCATCAGTTGAGGGGCATTTGGGTTGTTTCCTCCTGTGGCTGTCATGAAAAATGCTGCTATGAATATTTATTTACAAGTTTTTATATGGATATGTTCCCATTTTTCTTCAGTGTATACCTAGAAGTGGAATTAGTAGGTAGGATAACTCCATATTTAACTTTTTGAGAAACTGCCAGACTGTTTTGCACGCTGGCTGTACCATT